ATAAGCCTAACGACGTCATCAGGGAACTACATTCACCGAAAAGATCAGCACTAGTTAGCATTACACAAAAACTACTCCTACCATAGTACGACTGCCCCCGTCACCTTATAGCAACTTTCTTCTTTACGAGCAACTGATATTTTAATTATTTTACGATGAGATGAGATTAAATCATCTGGAGAGCTGACGAAGAACTGTCGCAATGAAGCTGAATTGATGACACCGTCTCCCCATAACATAAGGTCTTCCTTGCTGAGAAGCATCCGTAGACCAATTGGCGCAAACTGCTCTGAGTGACAGCGAACTTTTGAAAGAAGTGCCATGTACCTTACCGGTGGCATGGAGGTAAGCTGGCACCGGGATAGAGTCAATCAGCAGCGGCGTGGATAAAGCTGCAGATTCCATTACCTTTGTTGATCAGTTATTGCTATTGCAGCTTGTTGACACGATAAAACAAACAACCATAAAACGAAGACGGTCTGCTAGTGAAGAAGAGCATGGTATTGCCAAGCAGCACGTAAAAATTGGAAGCAAGATCGAAATTCTACGTACTTCACAAAGAATGAACAGCGCTTAGATTGCATCGGCAAAGACTGTGTCAATCTCTGTTGAATGATACCGAAGCAGAGGGTATCGTTGTCGAACAAAAATGAACGGATGGGTTGAAAGAGAGGTATGGGAACCCGCGACGAGACCTGGAACCAACACCGGCAACTTGTTAATGACCACTGCAATACGACGTTCTGACATTTTGGCCTCTAAACGACTGGAAAGCAGTGGAAGTGAAGCTTAAGTGCAATGATAAAGGATCCCAAATGAATTGATTTCAGGTATACGAAAAACCGTAATCGAAAGTCGCGTAGTTCCTGAGGCAAAAAGTGCAATCCGATCATCTCTCAGCGAATCAACGAATTTGGCAGATGGCCAGGTAAAGAGAGGGGGACAAAGTCAAAGGAATCGGAAAGCTGCGGTCAGCCGATCAACCTTATGGAAGCGTTTTTGCCAGGGGCCAGTGTGACTTTACCGAGCAAAATAAAGGTTTCGTTTGCGTTTTTTGTGCCTCATTATTTTTCATGCACATCATTGAGTCGGCCAAATTCGGTTCACTAATTTAACACACAACGATAATTAACGACATGCACACGGCAGTATCGATCATTCTTTGCCACCGGCAAGCATTGTTCTTACAAGTCGCGGCACGGATGAAACTGTTCATTTCGAAGGGGCGTCTGATTGAGACGACGACATGCTGAGTCCGGCCGTCTGAGGCAACCATCCGACAAGACAGACGCTCACAGCGCAATAACGGAACAGATGTGCTACCAAATGAATCAGGTTCGCCATGGGTACAAGACGTTAAGATGGCGTGGTTTGCAAATAATTATATGAATTTGACATAAACAAAACTTGTGGCCAGAAGTAATTTTGTGTGCACCTGAAGACGGGTCTGAACTGTGTTTAATTGGTCCGTTGACAACAATAAATTCAAGCTGGCATCACCTGAGAATAATTATGGCCGTGCCGAATTTCACGGCAGAGGAACAATGCCTTGTTTAGCCGACCGGCTCACGTCATCAGCTGTTCAGTTGATTGCAGCAGGGCTGACAAGGTGACCGACTACACAAAGAGAAACGCAGATTATTAATCGCTATAGCTCGAAAAACATTTGCATACCATTATAACTGTCGATTGCAGGGCTATGACTTGTTGCTTGGTTGTTCGAAGTACTGATTGCTTCTCAAGAAGCAGTTGGATGCACTAGTCAGTTAAAAGAGGTGTTCAATTGACAGAGTTGTATCTAAGCATTATCTAGCTTTATTTGGAGAGCAACAAAATGAGCGATTCACAAAGAAATGAGGTTCGTGTAGAGAGAAACGGAGGAACAATTAAAGTTTCATGATTCACTTCAATTCTTTATTTTCTACCATGTTTGTGACTGACAATGACTAACAGAGTTAAGTGAAAATATTAAGAACTCTGAGTCAGCTGATGGGCCCCAAACTGATGTTCTGGATCGCCAATCAGTCACAGCTACAGTTTCAAGGACTATGACTTCCAACCTTATATAGAGAACTAAAACGTTTGAATAACTTTTGAATAGCGTTTATGTATTATTCTTCTATGATGCTGATGCTTATCGCGTTCAAGTCATAGTAAAGCTGGCAACGATCACCTCGCCAAACAGCAAGCCCTGATAGGCTACGACAGAGAGTATTGTTTATGGCTCCTGTAATGGCATGAAAACTAGGCATCGGCTAACTAAAATTATGAACATGCGTATGATAGATTTTCTGCTGTCTTTAAGGCTAAAATATGCCAGGATGATTTTTTAACCGTCGGTTCGTAAGAAATGACTCCAGACAACTCGCCGCATTTAGCTCGAAAATGAATGACGTGAAACAGAAATTGCAGAGGCGGATCTCTGGATTTATGACAACTACTCGGTTAGACAACTGACACCATTGCTTCCGATGAACTTCAACAGCACATTGATCGGATCTGCATAGCTGCACATTTATGATGATATATAGCTTGCTGAACAGTTAGCAATATCTTTTCATCTATAAATGGATATCCGCATTACTTTGCACTGGAGGTAAGGATTCGAGGAATGTCGCTGCGAAGGTTATAAATTCCATAAGAACTGAGTGTCTCAGCTAAATAATTCTGCTATCAACAGCTTATATTAGTGAAATACTGTATCGCATCGAACGAAAAAATGGATTAACGACTTTTACAATGAGAAGTTTCCATCTGGCTTGGAGAAATATGTATCGCTCGTTTAAGATTGAGTAAATGCAGAGTTTAAACTTTCACTTGTCAATTGGTCTGTTCCTCCCTTCACTCATTTCTTGCGAGAGAGAGGAGTTCATAAAGTTGCAGCTCATCAGTCTATACCATAACAATTTCTAAAGGAGTTTCTTTAAGGCTTAACAAAGCGAAATACAAATGGGCGTATCTTAAGCCACCAATTAGGCAATACAACACACTTTTCACCAGGCTGTTTCAAAAATGAGGTCAGCTTAGATGTTATTCCGAATTCATTGAATATTCTCATTTTTGGGGGATTACTTTTTCGAAGCAGCGATCAGAAACATGTAGTAGATGCCCTCAATGAGTTTTATGCACAGATGAGAAAGTGAAATAATTTGCATGATTCATCGTGTAGTGTCCGTCTGTACCATTTTAAATGGTTTCTGAAAACAAGAATGTGACGCAGATATTCTCCTGCCCTAGGCAGGCGTGCGGTTTCGGCTTTTGGTACATACTCAAGCTCAAGAAATTCGACGAACATACTTACACTTTTTGCGTTCGGTGGGGACACACTGGGTGGAATGCTCGTCGACGGCGCCATCATCGAGCACCGTTACGTACGTGAAGCAGTACTCAGGGTAGATTAGGTCAAAGTCGTCACAGTCAAAGTGCACAACCGCCTGATTGTGGCGAATCTTTCGCTCAGCGACGTACACCGTTTCCGGTACGATATGCACCGTATAGTACTTTTTCGGTACGACAGCATAGAGCCTTATGCGATGGCGGTCGGTGACACAAGATGGCTTCGTGAAGCTGACCGCAATGCCGGATACGGGGCAAGGGAAAATTCGGTCGTTGGGCATTTTTACTTCATACACCGGTGACCACGTAGTATTCATGACGTTGCTGGCGGCAATGGCGAAAGACGATGCGTTGGCCACCGTCGTAGTAATACCTGATAATTGAACCTTATAGAGAGCTTCTCGATCGAAAAGATGGCAGTCGAGAGTGGCCAGCTGTGACGCATTTTCGACCAGCGTCATTCTAACCGAATGAACGGTCACGAACTCCTGTGAGTGTGTAAAATGCATATGGTCCTTTGTCAGTCTTAGCAGTTGCAGTGAAATATCGCTGAAAGTTTTCAATAACGTTCTTTCGATGCACGATTCAGAGTACAGGCGAATTTCGACCACCAACGGCTTCGTCAAGACCACGTGTGCTTCGGGTATTTTCAAGGTGGCAGCCTTGGGGAAAATAGTCACGGCCGTTTCAGTCGAGCTAAGCGATGAATTTTGTCCTAGCGCATCAGGACGACTTCGAGCGGACTGAGTGATCAGCCGGTGTACGACTTCGGGGCATCGCTGAAGCCATCGCCGGCAAAAATGAGTATAGGTCACGGTGGAGTTCTCTTCCGCTATGGCTAGCCACGATTGATTATCCCTGAAAAAATTGCACCTCCACGCAGCATGACGGTTTCCTTTGAATAGTCCCGCTTCATCGTCAAATACCAGTTCCGCTAAAAGTTTGCCGAAAATTTAAACAATAATAAGCACTTGCCGAAAGAGAGAACTTGGAAGGGAAACTAGCGAGGCCAGTC